TGGGTGGGTGGTGTGGGGCCAGGTGGTGCTGTTTTGTAGGCACGCGGCCGATTGGTGAGAGCGGACTGGGCATCTCAATACCAATCGACCTTTGATGATCCACAAAGCGACCAAGACAAGACCCTAGCTTTGTGGTGAGAGGGTTACGGGAGCAGATGTCGATGCACCTTCTCGTGGTTGCTCCTGTCAATACCTGCTTAACAGCAGGGAAGCTAAGACATCGACACCCTATTATTGATTAGTAGTATCATGTATCAAATAAAAAATGTTTTTTTTTCTCTTCCCGTTCGCTAAACTTGCTTGTGCGTGTTTTATATTGTTGTCATATGCGAGCGAGACTCGTCGTTAGTTCCCCCCCCCCTCAATTTTTTTGAATTTTAAGGTCAGCCGCCAGAGACACTGTACTGGGCAGCAGAGGGGCATTTGAGGGGAAGAGAATTTTACCAAGTGCCTTATATTCCTTTATAAAAACGTTTTTTTTTCAGCTCATCTGAGAGCATTCTCTAAAGCAACAAAGAAACCGTTCTTAATTGCAGATCCACATGAAAATGCCAGCAACTTGACCTAATTCAAAAGGTAATGGTTTTAAATGGAGGGGTGAAAAGGAATGAAAAGTGCTATTTCTTTGTTTTATTCTATGTAACGCGGTAATAACAACAAACACGATGGTTGCTTTCTTAATGTTTCTTTAGAACGTATTCATTGTTGAGAAACACTCATTTTGAAGGGATCAATGAAGCAGCATCGTTGGCATTGGCACAAAACTCATTTTACTCGGACGATTTGCTTGACCGACTTGGTACGAATTGTGAAAGCTTTTTTCTCCTTGCTTTTACAGAACGCGGTTAAGAAACTACCACACACTTGCTCTTTGTTTGCGTTGCAAAAGCACGTTGTGAATGCATTTCTGGTAGTGGCATCGCTGGTAAATCATTTGAACTCTTATTTAATCACAGGAATCAAGATTCATTAGTTGATGGAAAAGGAAGAGGTCAGGGCGAGGGTCTTTTTCGTTTATTCTTTATAGAGTGCAGTAAAGATATTCAACACTTTTCTTGCCTGCTCTCAACTCGCCCTTGCCGTCCATCCACTGTATCAAGTACCCACAAGCACTGCTGATACCTAAGGTTTGTTTCATTGATAGAAAACTGACAAGCTATGGAAGGGAATAAGATATGTTGTATATGAAGTTAGCACTTGTAGGTTTGATTTCTTATTTCTATAGGTTCTGCGCCGCGTTTATGTTATACCCTGCACCACACGTTACAAACACGATTCGCTATACATACACGATCCATACATTGTACGGCACATACATATACGCATATATACATACGATCACTTGCACATTTGCACGAAAACGAAACGATATTGTAGGCATGGAGCTAAAGGGAAGGGATGCTATTGTGGGATGGACGTCAATACATCATTGGATGGAATCGAAGTATGCTTTTTGTTTCTTACACAACGACCTACCTTATGGATCGGCCATCACAGCATCCAGCCTTTGTATCTCAACCTTGCAACAATGATCCACACAAATACGAAATCAATGTAGCAACGATGATCGGATCCGTTCGTTACGGCCTTATCCATCACCAGTGTAGTTGCTTTGTACACGATGGAAGTAAGCAGTTGGATCGACATAAATTTATAGGTAGAGTATTGGGAGATCGAGCGCATCGTGTATGGATAGGAAGATGGTTTTTTATAGAAGAGAATATTCAAACAGACATAAATACAATGATATTCTATACAAAAGATAATGAAGCGATAATAATAGAATAGAAAGAAGATGAAGAAAAGGGCTATGGGTTTTGCCTTTGGAAGTTGGAATTCGGCGGTGTGGAAAGGATGTTGTTCAGGGAGGTATCAAAGTCGTTTGTCCATTTTTCAACTGTGGCGAGCAACTGGGCAACCTCATCAGCTTTGCTATTATCTATAATAGATTTGTCTACGCGACGCATCATGGCATTTGCCTTACTAATATGCTTCTTTAATGCGCGCTTAAGGCTATCCTTTGGTCCGCCATTGCGTTGCAATTGATTTTGGGTGGGTGGGCGTGTAATACTATTGCGGGTGCTTGATGTAGTGCTGTTTGTATTTTGGACAGCTGCTAACCAATCCTTTAGGGATGGTCGCACTGTGATGTTGCTCACCGCCTGCTCGACAAGGAACATATGTTTGCAGGGAAAGTAGTGTTTTTGGTATTGAGGGCACGAGCAAGAAACAATTTGGCTACTTTCAGTAGTTATCTAAGGATAAACAATGTATCCTGTTATGTAGCATACATGATGCTGGAGATATCTGATTGGGTATAGATGCTAAAATTTGACTTGATTACATACTGCTGCAGTCAAAATAAATGCATTGGAACAAATATTTTTTGCTTTACATATTTATAATCTTTGTATTTCTGTAGAGTAAACGTACCCAATGGAAAAAAGGCAAAAGTGGAAGAGTTATAATGAATAATCAGAACATACAGTCAATGATGGTTGGCAAGTGGGAAGATAAACAGTACAAAATGGTAGTTAATGATGCTTGTTGACGCGAGCAATACTTCGCCATACAGAATCGCGTTTTTGTTCGGGTGGTGTTTTTGGTGTAGTAGATGTGGATGAGCTATTGCTCGATGACCATAATTTCTTTTTAAACGTGGTGGTATTGGTAGTGCCTGTAGTGCTGTTGCTGACTGTGCTATCATTATCGTGTTCCGTGATTGTTGCTGACGAAAACCGTGCAGACGAAGTCAATTTTCGTCCCCGCGACATTAAAGATGGGCTCGGTGATGCTGGGCTTGTTGGGGATAGCAGACCGCTACGCGATGATGCGGTATCGATACGTGGTGGTAACAAGGAAGTGCTTTTTGTTGGGTTTTGATTTGTCAATGTTGCTGTGCGTGCCCATCGTCGATAACGTGTGGACATCCAACCTTTTGGATGGCGATCGAACACAGACCATAGCAAAGTGCCATAAGTCCATCCAAGTGCATCCGTTTCTGTTTTTGACGCAAGCCGCCATTCTGTATCCGTCCATGACCATGTCCACGCACCAGATTGTGCCTAAATCGTTTCTGGAAGTTGAAATTCGGTCTTTGGAGCCAGCGGCTTCTTGGCAGGATCTGTCCACGGTGCTCGATCGATAAAGGGCAGTGTTGCTGCGCGCCAGCCTGTCAATGGCCATGATCGCTAGTAAATCAAATGACCAAGAATTGTGCATTCGCTTAATTCCTTCATTTTCCACTCATATCTTCCCCTACTCCCCTTCCCTCTGGCATTCGATTTTAGATAGTGTTGCACATATCGGATCGTACCTGGTTTTCATAAATGACAAATTCAAACACAGAGGTTGTTGCATTGAATTGCATCTTTTCACGCTGGAAATCCTCCACGCGTTGTGTCAATGATCGTCTGCGCACCAGTGCGTCTTCTGTTCCGTGTTGAGACTCCAATGGACCGATGAAAACACCCATAAACAAGGATTGTAGAAACGACGTTGGCAAAATCTGTCGAGCAACACGAATCCAAGGCGCTTGCCATACTAAAGCAAGAGTGCCTGCGGCCAGGGCAACTTGTTGGGTCGTAGCTACTTGGTGTGCAATCACCCAGCCAATATAAGCATAAACAAAAACCAGTAAAGATTGTCGACCATCTTTGAGCTGCCATAACTGTTCTAGAGCCTCAATCCCATGCAAAGTTTCGAGGGCCTGCTGTAGTCGCTTTTCTTCGTGTCTGTCTTCACGGAATTCGCTCATATACAGCAGTAAGGCAATCATTATGATGGGTGCTATGTAGATAGATACAAAATAAAACTGCCAACATAGAACCCACCAACTCGCCAGCAAATAGAGGGAATCATGAATGGTAGTCGACTGCCATGTCGCAGCCAGAATGATATGTCTGGCAATTCGAGGTATGGGCACTATTCGTGCAAGGCATCGTAGTGAAATGACCTGGTCATTCGATTCTGGTGGTTGTGGTTGTTGAGGGTGCGAGTTTGGCTGTTGCTGTGGTAGTGGTTGTTGCAACGATTGTGCTCTGGAAAGAAATGTTTGACCATTGCCCAGCATTAGTGGTAAGTATATGTAAAAGAGAAAAGGAAAGGAGAGAAAGTAGACTATACCAGGTCCGTGCCACTTATTTTGAAAGAAACAAAAACCACAACGGGTGAGAGAGTTCAACCGTTGGTGTAACCGACCACATGCTTTGCACACCGCACTGGTTCTTTGGTCGTTTTGGAAAGTGCACACGCGCTTTGATGTTTTGGCATATGGGGCTTTTTGTTGTCTGGACTGATTGTTGTTTTGAGAAACAATGATGCACTTTCTGTTTATTACCTGGCTCACATGAGTGAACCAGCTAAACATATCATACAACAGAAGCTGATGGGTTCATCACCTCGTCAACACCAGCACAAGATATATGTTACTGCATCGGGATAACACATTAAAGTTTAGTCATAAAGCAGCATCGGGATCCAAATGAAGCCCATATATTATTACATGAAAGAAAAGCACTGACAAAATCTGGATGAGCCCTTTTGCAGCAATCCGGATAAAAACAGCCCTGTGTGTTTGGCAGCACAAAGCTAAATTATCTTTGCTTTGTTAAAAATAGGTACGTTTTCTCTTTTATTTAATGCATCAGAAAGAGATCCGGGACTGATTTTCGGGATCCCCACCCGGTGTCATCTTTTAGCAAAAGACGAATAGGTCGTATCTAGCTCACAATCAAGTATCGTAGCATGCTACAAGCTCCCTTTTTTTGACAAGCTTAGGGTGATGGCTATAAAGCTACGTATTTGCCCCTTTATTCGCCATTTTTTTTTGAGTTGTGCTGGACAAAATCTAAAGGAAGTATAAGGACAATAGATGATCAGAATGATTGAAGCCGCGTGACAACGACCGACCCACAGCTGTACCCTGTCATGAGCGATACCCAAATACTGTGCTTTAAAGTCTAAGGTTACTGTGAAATGGCGTTGCGTATCACACGCCCACAGCTTCGAGGTCGTCCTCTGCTGCCGTCTTCTGTTTCGATTCTGTTCAAACTCGCGCGCTGAGGTACTGACTTGACGCGATCGTCGTTTTTGACGAGGGCACACACACAAGCACCCTGTAGCTGTAGCCAGCAGTAACATCAGCAATCCGTTCACCCTCATACATTGGCTGCTGTTGTACAAATACTTCTCAGCATCCTCACACGCGCCGGTTCCTTATTAGTTTTTGGTTTCCAGGATATCCCAATTCTACCGGATATTGATTAAAGGATCTTTTTTACTCATTAAATTGACGACCACAGGCTGCATCCGTTGAGGTATCATTAGGAATAACGAGCGCTCTATGCACGTAAACTGTACGATCCATACAAGCATAAAGCCGCTGTGGTGCTTCAGCTTAACACACAGTTTGTCCAACGGTAAAATGAACTCTTTTTATATCGCCGGTTCTTTGTTCCACTAAAGCGCACAGACCCGTCGCCGACAATGATCGGATCAGAGCGGAGCACGGCAAGCGGAGCCGCATAGTGAAACAAACATATACGCACCATAAGAAAAAGACACTAGCATGACAGTTGACAGACTACAACGGTAATTATCATCAAGGCACTTCTTTACATTGCTGCAGTTCACTGGCTCCTTAGGGCAGTAGTGACAACAAAATTTCTAAGCTCCGTCATTTTGTTTATCGGGCTCATAAAAAAAAAAGAATCGACTGCGCGTTTTGCCCTTTATTCATATTCATCTTTGTACATTTGCATTGTTTCTTTCATTATCACTTTTTACCTTTCTTTTTTTTTATCCAGGACTAGTGTTCTTGTGGGTATACAAAGATGAAAGAGAGCTAGTAGTGCACGACTGTCTCTTATTCATCTTTGTGCATTTGCAATGTGGGTGTACAAAGATGAAAGAGAGCTAGTCGTGCACGACTGGCTCTTGCTCATCTTTTGTACAGTTGCAATGTTCTTTGTTTCATCTTGGTTTTTTCTCTTAAAAAAACTGAAAGCGAGAGTATGTGCAAAGAGGTACGTATATTCCCGCCGTTGACTGACCTTTTTGATGTTTCTTTTATTTGTAGGAACTGTGGAGGAGTAGGTTCCGTCGGGAACTGAGGCTTGTGGACAAGAAAGGGAGAGGTGTAGGTTCTGCCGGGAACTGAGGCTTGCGGGGAACAAGGGAGGGCAACCTCCCTTGAGGAACGAAGGATTCATCAAAGTCGGTCGACTTGTCAAGCAACATTTAAATAAACTTGGTTTCTTATTGTACTTTTATAAATAATGTCACTGTAACTATTGGGCAGATCGAGTGACGATTGTAATAAACGCGATCTTTTTTTTTATTATCTTCCTACTGCCATTGCGCTTGGTACTTGTTGGTGCTTCCTCTGGAGTAGTTATGTAAGTTGCACAAATGAGCCTTTTTGTGCTTGAGTCGTCGAGAAAACCATAGGCTGTGCATTCGCATGTGTGCTCTCAAAAACAATACAGCTGGTTTACCTTCACGACTATACAATGCGTGTGTGTGATCATAATGATGCATGAGGGAGTGACTTGCTATCTATTACAATGAGGTTCTACAACACAGAAAAACTCGTACGCATAAGCACTTTCCGTTTTTCTTTTTTGCTTAAATAGATACCCCTTCTGCCTAAATAAAAAGTTCAAACATCCAGTACTTGAAGGGAGTATCCTGTATTGCGAGAAAGTAGCATTTTTTTTACATTCTACGAAAGTGTACAAGACACTGACCCCTTCATATAGTACAGTAAAACCCTCTTAGAAGAAACTTTCTGTTTGCTGCACTTTGAAAATAAGGCACAAGCACAATCTGTCGCACTCTTGGAGCAATTTATTGTACGACCTACCCTGTGTAATGGCGGAGCCTGTACACTATGCATGTATGATTCATATGAAGGATAAAGAAATACAATCTCATATTCATAGTGCTTCAAGGGACTACTGTGAGCCACCGACCGAAGAGCAGCCACGGAGCGATTTGTATGGACTACTTGCAGAACGCCAAAAGTTGGATGAGCTGATAGGCAGCAATTAGTTTGCTTGAAACAAAGCCAAGTACTTTATTAAATAATAAAACTGTATATACTGGGGGGTTAGCTTCTTCATAAAACTAAAGCATTGGCTCGTCGAGTGCCAAGCATCTAATAAACACGAATAACCCATTTTTGATACAATCATCGGACTGAAACCTTTCTTTGCTGCTTCAATAATTTTGATCGTCAAAATTATCAATCTAAATCGTCCTTGTAGTTCCTTTGGATTTTGACCAGAACAACTCACTAGGATCAATTTTTATACTTGGTCCACTTTATGAAATGGCAGTATTTGATCCATAGCCAGGTGACGGACCCTTTTCATCCCATGTTGATCATGCATAACAAAGAATTCAAGGAAATGCTCTCTACAACGCGTGCCAACTCGAGCATTTGCCCTCAACCGACTTGAGAGCTTCACCGTCTCTTTTTTTTTTTTCTGAACTGGCTTGAATTGACGCAAAGTTAGATCAATTTTACCCCTTTTCCACAAATAGCACCCATAATAGTCATAGTGATGTTTGAGAAGGGAAGCAGTGTCTTTGCAGGTGTTCCTCGCTTTGATCGGCCAAAGTATCTACGGATGTGCATGAGGAAACAATAAACAAACACAGTGAATAGATTTCCATTTCAAGACTCTTTCTCTGCGTGAAAGTTGGATTTATCAATGGCAGCTCTCGCAGTTACTATACGTTCTAGCTTTCCAAGTGTCAATGATGCGTGCTGGATCAGATGTTTGTGATGACCAGTAAAAAAGAAAGAGAAATTGATTTGATCTCCAGGGTTATGGCTTTAAGGAATAATAACCTTGCTCGCCAAAGAACAGCTTCTGGTTTCTGTGCGTAGAGATCACGGAGAAAGTCGGTATGTCGCCGTTCAAAGTTTTGTGTACCACTTGATTCCAGCCAGGCAAACGCTTCTCTTCATCATCCCAATAGAACTTCACATAATGCTGAGCTGTTCTTTCAACAATTAAATACCTACCATCATTTTCTGGCAGAAATCCGTGTTTCAATAACAAGGTCAAGAAGCTCTTGTATTTGCTCAGGAGTATATGATCGATAAAATATTTGTAGCAGACACTTTAATCTGGCGACTTTGTTTTCTCTAGTAGTATACATATATGAGATGTTCCAACTCTCATAAAGATATCTTGGCGGAAGCCTTCATAATAGCTACTTACAAGTTTTTCTTAATATCGGGGTTTCGTTACGTTCTTACTTATCTCTGCCTGTCTGACTGTGTGGTATAAAACCATTCTGAACGGTTTCGATTTCCATAGGTTCAAAATCTCGTCCATTACCCTTCGAAATTGTTCAAGTACTCATCTGGTCCAAGTAGCCATCTCGTATTAATATTTGACAAAAACTATCCGCACAACAAAAAGAAGGTCCGCAAACTTAAAGTAAAAGCACAATATCAAAGATCATCATCATGTGCTGCTGCTGCTGCTACTGCTACTGCCACCATCGCCTACATACCCTAATAATAGAGTAGACTAACAGGTCCGTTAAAACAAACAAACATGCCCAGTGTCCCTCGACGGGTTTTGACACGTCAAACGCCCATGCCAACAACAGGAACTATTGCTTGTCGATGTAGTAGCAAGTAGTGTGGATACCACGACGCTTCGGGAATGACGAAGATGCTGCCAGCTGCTGCAGAAAGAAAGAGAAAGGAGCTACTATGGATCATAAAGTGCTCTATAGCAGTAGTGGTGATGATGATAAAAGAAAGCTCCGTTTCCCCCACCCGCACCTTTATTTCTTCCTGTTCCCTTTCACTCTTCTCTGACTCTCCCCCCCCCACACACACACTTTTACGAAAAAAGCACTCACCTTATTCCTCTTCTTCCCTTGTCACTGCTGCTAATCAGGAACACAGAGAAAGAAAAGCAGTGTTTCCTTAGTGTGCGAGTGCGAGTGTGTCTGCGTCTGCGAGTGCGTGTGTGTGTGATATATATATATATATATATTTATATATATTATTATATTATATTATATATATACTATTTTTGTGGCGCGCTTGTTCTTTGTTCTGTTGTTCTGTAACAGGAAAGCAGACCTTTTTTTATACCCACCTTGACCCTTTTTTTTTATTTCCATAACTGGTCCCTGTCTTCAGTTTACTCTTTTGCCTTTCTTTGTCTTTATACACACACACACTCTCTCTCTCTCATTCCACTTTATTAATTCCTCCATTGACACTCACCAAAAGGTAAATCTTTTATATTCGCAAGGGGTAGAGATAGACGAAAGGGGGGCAGAAGCTTTTTCCATACACACTGCACCTGATTCTTCCTAAACTATGCTTGACTCCATTCACCCACACCCCCCCCCAGGGAGAGGGGAGAGGGAAAAGAAGGGTTGGGGTGTTGAGAGAGATCTCAGAAAACTTGTTTGTACACGAGGAATTAGGAGCGCTTTCTGTAATTCATATATATTCCAATATTGCTAAAAAAGAAAAAAAAACCATCAACTACCTTTTTGTAAAACAGAAAAAAGTTTTATATATATCAAAGGAAAACATGCTTCCTTCAGATTCTTCGGACGACGATCTCGAATCAAGAGCTGACACCTTTTTGTCAGATCAATCTTCTGTCCAACAACAACAGCAACAGCTGCAGCAACAAGCACTTCGACGAAACCAGCCTCCGACTGCAAGTACTCGACGCATGTCGAGACAACTTTTTGCTCAGAAATATGGACTTAATGCACCATCATCCGGGTCCTCACACCCTCCAGCTCAAGTAGGAAGACGATTGAGTGATCCATGTGACCACGACGACGATGACGACGACGACGACGAAAATGATGATTCAGAAGACGAACGACCACTACACATGTTATCACAGCAGCAACAACAAGTATATCCAAGAGTAGGAGGAAGGGGATTAGCACGGCCCATTTCTGTGTGCAACATTGCCGAGGCAACAAGTCCTGCAAGACCGTCGCGGTTTGTGAAACCAGCAACCCAAACACCACGTCATACTCAAGTGCCGTCTGATATGCAACAGGTGCAGCTCCTTGGCGAGCATTTCAATCGCAAAGTTTACATGGAGGGCTATCTGGCAAAGATGAATGACTTGACCACAGACGGCCGACCGTGCACTGACCGACGATGGGCGCAACACTATGTCGAGTTGTGTGGCCCCGTGCTCACTTTGTGGAACGCTGAATTCACTGACGATCAAGAACAAATTCAACAACGATCCAGTAGTCCCGAATACATCAATATCAACGATTCATATGTGGAACTCCTTGGCGACAACAACAACAATGCTGCTGCTGGACCGCAACAATTTGTGCTCAACTCAGCAGGTGCCAATCGCTACGTGTTCCAAGCCATCAGCCAAGATACAGACGCACAGACATGGGTATTGGCGATCCGTCTGGCATGTTTCGAAGGCGCCCGCATCCATGAAATCTACACGCGACGCTTTGTATCGCGTTACTCGGACGTGTTGATGAAACGACCGCCCAAAGTGGAAGGCTTTTTGCAAGCACGATTTCCGGGTCAGACGGAATGGAAGAAATATTGGACCGTAGTGACCGACCGCCGAACAGAAAAGAGGTTCTTTGGCAAAAAGTCGGTGCCAACCAGAGGTCAGCTCATGTTTTATGAGTCCAAAAAGGCGAAATTCCCCGTGAAGATGATTGTTAATGTCGTGCAAGCCTATACCATATACCCCGCCGAATCGCCGCAGCTCACGGATTTGGCGACACTGATGAAAGTCGAAGGCAATATTTATGATTGTTTGCCCTCTAATGGCGAACAAAAGCTGTCACGATTGGCTGCGAGTGTACTTGTCATGGCATCCAATGCGAAAGAGCTGACACAATGGCTGGTAGGCACTTTTGATGCATTCAAATTGTATGGACGACCGACAAAACTCTTGGACGAGCCAGCGGATGGCCATGCCCTCAATTTTGGGGAACCCCGCATGAACAGGGATCTGCCACGATTGTTCCTAGAAGTGCCTGAAGCACAGCAGGTCAATGTTGCAGGCGAAACACTACTTGACAACAAGTTGGCATTCGCCAGTATTTTGGAGCAAAAGATGCGACGGCACCCATCCGTAGTAGTGCCTCCTCCAAACAACAATACGGCTGGATTGACGATGATGATGGGCTCGCGGACGAACAGCATGCCCCTGATATCTGGGATTCCTACGTCTCCTAGCTCACATGCACTCGTAGACGATCATGCTTCTGCTGGTGCTCAACAACGTCGACCTACACTTGCAAACACGTTACCAGCAGGCTCTCAAGCCCAACAGCGACATTCCGCACCTTTGTTGCAACAAATGAATTCACCACCACAACAGCCAAACACAAATCGTTATTCATCACAATTGTCAATCATGGCGGCAGGCCGACCACGGCAAACTCAACATCAAACATATGCAAGCGACGAGAGTGACGATGATGACAATGATGATGATGATGACGATGGCGATGAAACCAGCTCAACATCCAGCACATTTGAAAAAACAATCCCAATATCACAACCTACAACAGCCGCAAAACCATCCCAATCATCTCCACAACAAACAGAAACCGCACCAACGACTCCTTCTATCACTGCAGCATCTACATCAGCAGTCGCTGCTGCACCAACCCCTACATCGTCATCCGCAAACGCCACGCGTAGACAATCCACCATGACATTACCCGAAATATCCGAGAGCAACGACTTTATGACATCCATCTTGGGTGACATGAAATTAGACAATCAAAATAAAGCAACCCCAGGCCCACCTCCACCCACACCTGCCCATATTACACCCGTCGCATCCACATCAACGCCAAATATCGGACAAGCTACGAAACAACATCAACAACGTGCGATTACCAAGTGCAGTAACAGTAGTAGTGATAGCAGTAGCATAGTGAGCAGCAGTAAAAAGGTGGCAGCTACTTGTTCACCTGCCTCACCATCCACGGCGCAACCGCATCAACAGTCATATGCTGCCAAGTCACGGCCGACGTCAGCAATGGCATGGCGAAGGTCGTCTAGTAATCTGTTGATGCGGCCTCAGAGCAGCAGCTCTGGTAGTAGCAGTAGTGCAAGCATGACACCCAGCGGCTCAGAAACCAGCAGTATGGGGCATGGACCACCACAGCAGCAGCAGCGACAGTATTATCGTGGATCAATGCAAATGCCACCGACACAGCCATCTCGTGGAGGACCACCTGCAGAACGACGGTCGATGTATATGAATGACAACGGTGGACGACGCTCATCGAGTGCAATCTTGCTACAACAGCGCTGGGAAACGCCTGAAGAAGAAGACGAAGAAGAGCATCCTCCTATGGGTATGGTACCACAGCAGCAGCAGCAGCAGCAGCAGCCACCACCACCACCTCCATTCCATCAACAACAGCAACAATACGATCCATATGGCTATCAGCAATACCAACACTACGTTGACGACGATGATGATGATGATGATGCACCGATCGTCCCACAGATCGGTACCAACTTTGTCACACAAAACAGTCTGCTGGACATGTACCAGTCCGAACAATTACCGGCGCACGTACAAGAAGAGAATGCCCGGATTTCGGGCCAGCCGCTGGTCAATTTGCCAAACAAACCGCCACAACCGCGAGCGGGTCTAGTAGGCATGATCTCACAGTTGGAACATGAGAAAAAAGAGCGTGATTCGGTCAAGGGCCGGCTTTTGGAAATGGAAAAGGAACGCGCATTAGAACAAGAGCGGGGACGGTTCTACTTTGATCAGCAACAGCAACAGCAGCGCTATTCGGCCATGATGCAGCAACCCTCGTCACCGAACAATGATAGTGTTCATGCACCACCACCACCACCTATGATGACTCCTCAGGTACGGTTGTTACAGGTCCTTTTTTTTTCTTCTGTAGGCATTGGTGATAGTAATTTTTGGAAATTCCTATGTAATAGTCCATGATGGCAGCTCCTTCTCCTCCACAAACCCCTTATGGTGGAGGTGGTGGTGGCATGATGATGGATCCTCGCATGTCGATGCCCATGATGAATCCCCAGATGATGATGATGCCGATGATGGCGGGCGCTCCGCAACCCATGATGGATCCAAGGATGTCGATGATGCCAAACATGGCCATGATGTATATGATGCAAGGCTCGTATGGCCAAATGCCACCACCCACGATGCCTATGTTCTACAATCCAATGATGATGATGCAGCCGCAGGAAAAAGTGGAGGATGATGACGATGATGTACCCCTAGGACCGCCTATCCATAATAATAATAATAACCACCACCACCACCACCACCGCCAGCAACAACAACAACAACAACGCCAACGTAGTAATAGCCATCATTTTTAAAGTTGCATATTAGAAAGTAAACAAAAAAAACAAGGATGCATGATTCTTCCTTTTTGGAGATGCAATATGTCCGATTTAAAAAGGGGAAAGCGGGAGGAGGGGGTATATATACTCTTTTCTTTTCATGGGAAGAAATCTCCAGAAAAAGTAAAAAAACTGTACAAGGAAGAAGGAGAATACAATTCTTGGGGGTAATCGTCGTAGTCGTTTTTTTTTTCAGGCAAACATATCGTCGAGAGACATTCCACCCAGACCGGGTAGACCACCGTTCTAGACACAAACACACACACCATTAGCCCAGCGGATAAGCGGCAACAGAAACCAGAACAAACAACTTACTGTAAGCGGACATCCAAAGGTAGTCGATCCGCCCAGGTCCAAATTAAGCTTGACAAACAACACCCTCGCGTTTACATTGATGCTGTAGTTGACGGTGATGTCTTCTGCCTCGCTGCCCGTGAGGCCGCATTTCTCCAACAGCGTGTTGAGCATGAGCTGCGAAGTGGATGACTGCGTGTCGTACTCGATCGCAAATGGATACGTGAAATTATAGTCCGAATTGGATGGAATCTTTTCTTGATCAAGATAACCACGGCCGAGATATGCGTCTCCACTGTCTGTTGGCATATTGGCCTATATAAACAACCCACCACATGGTCAACAACCTCTCTGTCTCTGTCTCTCGTGTTTTCGTTTCAAATTGTTTTTTTTTCGAGGGATACTTTACCGTAGCTTGCATATCCGACAAATAGATGGGCAATGCGTTTGGATTCTCGACATTGACAATCAGCCCCAGATTAAACATGAATTTCGTGCCGTCAAATGTGATTTGGGATGAGTTGTCGCCCGGACTTTCTGTGACATCGAGGACATTGACTACAGGCATGTTTTTGACGAACGAGCCCAAGAGCGCTCCAATGACAATGATACAGATAATGATGCCGATAATGATGAACCACATGAGATAACGTGCCCATACGGGTAAACAGCATGCACAGCACAGACATCGACAACACCGGTTACGTTCTGTGAAATGTCGCTTTTTTGGCAGCGCTTGTTGTTGTTGTTCTACTACTACTGCTGCTTCTGGATCCTGCTGCTGTTGTTCTACTTTGTGGTGATGGGTGTTGTTTGCTATATTACAATAAGCATTTTGTGAGAACAAAAGAAAAAAACCCTAGCCAGCTTTTTTAGCCAACCTGTTTGATAGGTTTGGGGGGGCTCTGGAGCAGTAGAGCATGCAGGGGTAAAATGAAATGCAAGGGGAGTTGTTTTTTATTACCATTGCCGGAATAGTATTTTTCGTTGTCGTTGTTGTTGTCATGGTAACCATGCTGTGGAGGTGGTGGTGCTGGTGATTGTGATGCTATGGTTTGTTGTGACAAGGCTTCGGTATTATACATTTTCGAATTGGGGAGTGACAAAAAACGATCAAGTTTACGGTATCAAAAAAATTTCTGAACAGAAAAGAAAAAAAAAAAGTTCAAAAAAAAAAAAGAAATAAAAAATAAAGGTCGGCTGGTATATATAGAACTAATGCAATTAGGCTATGTTCTTCCGGGAATGGGCCATATCGTTATTGGAGCCAAAGTTCCAGCCTAAAGGACGGAACCAAAAAAGAAAAAAAAAAAAAGACGGCCCGAATTACCTCCTCCCTCCCCCCCACCGCCCGCAATAACAACAACAACAACAACAACCACTACGTCAAAATTCGGCAAAATCTTGGCAATATCGGGCCCTGATACGTGCACGTGTGTAATATAGAAAAACACGAAATCCACCCACTCACACGCGCACACACGCACGACCATAATCCTTACATTCAGCCCCAGGGCTCTTTTTTTCTTAGAATCGATTGGGGGGGGAAACAAAAAGAGTGGAGAGAAAAGGGTTATGCTACCCACAAGTCGACTGTTGGATTGTTTGCTTTCCAAGCCGACTCTGAATTTAAAAAAAGTTTTTTTCTTTGTCAAAAACATCGTTATAAGCTAGAGCTTGCCACTTTGTAAACCATAAGTGGAAGAGTGTGGACACTCGATGGAGATCTCTTCACATAACATTAAAAAAAAAAGATTATGTAAAAAAGAAAAAGGAAAAAAAGCTTAAATTACTGTTTTACTACTAGCTTAGTCGTCATCAAAGAACGGATCTAGTTCGCCGTCATCATTGTGTGATTCTTCAGTAGCGTCAAACACTATTTGTTTCGTAGTCACATTTGCTGTTGCTGGCTGCTCCTCAACTGTGGCAGTGGTTGCTACCGACGAGGGTCGTGGCGATTCCTTGATATTTCTGGTCGTTACAGATGAGGTAGTCGTAGTAGTCGTCGTTGTCGGTGATGTTGGCGGTGATCCTTGGGTGATAGCAGTCGTGGGGATAAGCGGTGTTGGACGAGTGAACGAGGATCGCTGTTGCTCCGATGAACTATGGGTTGACGAGGATGACGATGACACGGAATTGTTACGTTGAAAAACCCCCATCCATTTGTCGGTGTTACTGTTATTATTAGACTCATTGTTGTTGTTATTGTTGTTGTTGTTGTTGTTGCTACGCATAAAGGACATGATGCCGCGTCGCTGTTTCGTCGGACTTGCTGATGCTGCAGCGGGATCGCTAGCAATGGCTTTATGATCATGATTGGCTGTTCCTGTAGTAGTGACAGTAGTAGTACCACGCGTCGCGGGTAAAGAATAGTGCGTCGCTATCAGCGGGCGGGCTTGACGTCGCTTTTCGCTCTCGGTATGCGACTTGAGCGTTGCTTCGCTAAACACTACATCATGGTGTCTAAGCAGGTCTCGGGCAAACTGTGTAGGCATGGGGCTTGTCATAGTTAACAAAGACTCGATCCGAGGGCGTAAAATGACTGGGCCGAGTGACCGACTGACCAGCTGGATATCGTCTTGTTGCACAGCTCTAATAGTTGAACAGAATCGTTGATTAGTAGAGCGTATCCAAGTTAAGGAGGGTTGTTGGGAACAGCAGTACTCTTGGCTAAAACAGGGTTATAACTCTAAACGTACTTGTGGATATGGGATGACAGTAATCTTAATGTGGCAAAGTGAGTTCCCGGCAAAGTTGCGATCAAGTTACTCAAGGACGGTAGCCGTAAAGTGGTATCCTCATCTTCCTGTTCAACTTTAAGAAAGATGAGATACGAAACAACGCTTTTATCATTCTCCCGACATGTGTGGGTGTAAAAGAGTGGAATCAACTGCTTACCGTCACTAGTAGTGGCATACAATGCTTGCACGGCGTCATAAAACTCAAACGTCATCAAGCATTCGGGCAATTCTAAAAGATATAACCGAAGGATAGCAACAAGTGTCATGGGTTCATATTGCTGTAACAGCTCGGTTGTAATCTGGCTACTGGGTATATTGAGATCCGCGCATATCGCATGAATCCGATCCAACGGTAGTCGGGTTGACCATAGTTGGTGTTTTTCTAATGAAGCGCCAAAAAAAAAAATAGTTCGTTTAGCGTACAAACTAAAAAAGCTCACGCTATTTTCAGATCGCTTTATACCTTTCTCGTCTAGTGTCTCAGATGCTAGTATAGAGATGGGAAAAAGTAGATCAGTCCAGTGAGTTAACGCAATGCTGATAGTTTCGCCGGCAAAAAAAAAAATGATCGACGCTCACTTTGAACCACACTATCCAATGCTTTACCTTTGAGCTCAATGGCTTCCAAAAGACAGCGAGCAAACTTGGGCACCTTATCATCGGTCATTTTACCGAGATCATCAAGGGAAACACCAAATATCTGGTCTAGAAAAAACTTTTGTTAGCATATATAAATAGGCCAATCATGCTAGATGATATATACAGGAGAGGGGTGGGGGGGGGACAACAGTTTTAATGCGTGCTTATATAATTTCTGCAAATGAGCAAGCCCATTACCGTGTGCTACTCCGTGATTCTGGTTATCGTACAAAATGGGCTTAGGCGAGAATCCAGACACGCAGTACTGTTGGACAATGTATTGAATGTCTTGCTCTGGCTTTAAGGATTCTTGATACACAAGCATCTCTTCCACGATAGCCTTGTCACCAGGCAACATTTCCGAGAGACACAGTGAAAAGGAGGCAATCGCTAATACACACACACATGGAAATTGTAAACAGCACTTGATAAATTCTAAAAATGTCCCCGTGCCATACACTGCTTCTTCTTCTCTTTACCTTGTTTCAGCACTGCCAACCGTTTCAATTCCACCTGTTCCATCTCGGCAAAATGAGCAAACTAATTTTGGTTTTCGGATAAAAGAAGGAGTCGTCAGTTTTTCTACAAGCTATTGGTAGTACTCGGTTCTTTTTTTTTTTTCGGGACAACCAATAAGGTCTCTCTCTCTCGCTCTCTCCCTTACCAATGCTTGTTCCACAACCATCCGCATTTGATCGATCCTTTTGACAGCGGCACGATACGTTTCATCCGCTAACGTTGCTTCTCTCTGTGCCCGCTTGTACACCTCTTCTCCCGGCACAGGCTGTCCTCCAATGCGTTCGAAAAAGCCAAAGCCGTAATTTGACGTACTCGCACTACCCTCATCGTTGTTGTTTTGTTGCTGTTGTTGCTGCTGATGATGATGATGCTGTTGTTGCTGGGGCAACTGTTGCCATTGATAGTAGGATTGGGGTGATGGTGCAAATTTATTGCCACGTTGACCAACGAGTCGCAAAACACCGAGCGGATGGATCAGCTGCTGGGCAACCACGTCTGCCATGGCAGGCGAATCCTTGCATTGAGGCATGGTGTGTTGAAGCCATACGGAGATATCTTCACCCGTCGACGTGTTTTGATATTTTCCCAGTATGGGCACTCGATAGTCGCCCACTCTGATCTCGCTACGCATTCTCTCCACGAGAGCGTTCAATTCGGTGCGCGACATGCGTTGGTTGCCAATAAGGATCATCTCGACGCTGATTCTGTCGTCGTCGTCGTCGTCTTCGTCGTTGTTGTCGTCTTGCTCTTCCGACTGTTGTTGCTCTTTGGGGCTCTGTCCGTCACCCGTATGATGATCCTTTACTATCTGGTCAGCTTCTTCTTTTTCTCCTGGCTGCACATTGGGTGATGGTGAGTTTTCCGCTTCCAGCTCCTTCTTTTTCTCCTCCTCATCCTTCTTTTGCTGCTGTTGCTGCTCCCATTGTTCTCCAGCCACCACAGCTTCCTTCCATCTCTTTTGGTACGTCGTCTTGGCCCTGTCCATCTCCTTGACCAATCCATCAAACTGTTTCATCGCCGCATCCACCGACTGTTTACTCGTCGTGATCGACCGCTTATACTCGTCTTGAAACTTGTTCAACGGTTTGAGCACCGTATCCGTCAATGCCGAGACCGTCTGCTTGTGCTGCATACTGAACTGACCGCTCGCAGCACGCATATTTTCAAAACACCCCTTCAAAACCGCACCGTCATCGCGTCCAAACCCAGAGGATTTCAAGGAACCTTTGGCCTGATCACCCAACCGGTTCGCATAATTGTCCTCAATGGCAATCCGTTCTTTAAAAAATTGTATAATTTCATCGTTTTCTACTTTGCTTTGGTTTAGCTTGTTGTGGAGCACTTGAAGACCGGTCTGAAAGTCGGGAAGGGGTCCTCCGGTTGCTTTTTGTGACCAAAACGCATTTTCAAAATGGAGCGTTGGTGAATGGTGTCGTGATGGTGCCATTGGCCCTTTCTTGGTTTAAAAGGAATTTTTAAAAAAAGGAAAAAGCAGGCAAAGGAGTTCCAGGCCTCTGTTTGCCTCTCTCTCGCTCTCTCTCTCTTTTCTTCACCTCAGCTGCTGCTGCTGCTGCACAAAAAGAACCACGCGCGCGCATTCTTGTGTAACAGTGGGCATAAGGTCCCTTCCCTCCTTCTCCTTGCTTTTTTTTCGTCTACAACAGGCTGATTGATCCGGCACTCGACTCTTTGTTATTATCAACCTGTCGAGTATATACTTAGAGTATGGTAGTTACAGTGTGTATAAAATGCCGGCAACCAGGGACATCATATATGCGGCTGTCATCGTTGGTAGCACATGATGTTTACCCAAGAACACATGTCTCTTTTAGCTCCATAGATAAACACCCTTATTGGAATAGTTACACGTTGAATGTTGCAACCGTAAAAAGCTTTTTATTACAGCAGTTACTTTACTTTAGCTACTCTACATGTTTATGATTTCTATCTCTTCAACTGGAAATATTCTTCCGTTTAGCAAGAATTTCGGTAGTTCGGTCTTTGTATTGTTCCTTGATTCCATCCCACAGCTTAGCAAGCGATGGATCAACACCTTTGAGCTTATACAACTCCCCAACATCATTCTTGTTGCTATATTTTGCATGGTCGTTTAACCATGTCACGAACGGTTGCGCATGCAATATGCAGCCTAACAAATTCATGTCGAAAGGCGGAAACGGATACATGTTTGTCTTTATATGATCACGCATCTTCTTGTAACAAGGGATCCACGCCAAACCAGCCCACACACGCGCAACAGCTTGACCTTGGTAGTAAAAAAACTGCGTGCTTGTCAAATGACCAGGTGTACCAACAAATGCAAGCGTCGGATCAAGGATGGCGAAAATGTCCCGGTACGTGTTGATGGGTCGCGACCCGTTCGTGACTACCAAGGGTCTCTCTGTCTGTTGAGCACAACCCTCCTCCTCATCCGTGCCATCCTCTGGCTCGGTTCCGTAAGTTCGTAGCGGCCCTAAGAACCCCAAATCATTCACAAAACCGGTGCAGAAAATCACATGGTCGATATTATACAGCACGGTATTGTCTTCAAACGTGATCGAGCCATTGACATGGCCTTCAGGATCTGCGAACGCACCGATATTGGGCTTGTGAATGGTCGAGTCAGGTAGTACGGATCTTGCGAGATTAAGAATGTTGCTGACTGACTTGAAGTTGCCTCGAATGGACATGTATACGTTGCTTGCGATACCATCCAACCGTTGTGCGATATCAATGGCAGATATATTGCCACCCACGATGAGGACGTTCTATATATACATACATACACGTGTGTTGTTCTGTCAGATAGAAAATCCCCACCAACATTACTAAGAAGCCATCCATACATGTATTCAACTCTCTAAATCCCGTTTCCCCTTCTTCTTAAGATGCAAACAAACCTTTCCAGCATAATATTGATAGTGTCTGTATTGTTTAGAGTGAATGATACGCTCGGGATAACTAGCATTATATTCGTGCAACTTTGGGAAATCAGGTATGAAAGGATCGTTGTAAGCACCAGATGCAACAGCGACCGCATCAAACGATTCTGTCCAGGTCGTATACTGGATCTTGCTACCATTGTCAATATACTCGGCTTTACGCAAGGTCAACTGCCATTTCTTGTCGTCACCATCATCAAGATCATCCGCTGGTTTTGCCTGTCGTCGTTCAACGTATTCGACCCTCGTGTTCAATTCCATAATATCATATAGTCCAAAATGTTGGGCATAGTTCTTGTAGTATTGCTGCACCTCGCCGTGTGGAACATAATACGGAGTTCCATCCGGCCAGGGGAAATCTTCAAAGTCCATCATTATCGGCGCTGCAGTGTTGTTATGCAGATCAGGGTAACACGCAGTTGGCGGCGCATGTTTCAGCTTGTTGAGTCGCTCGTCGGCTGTCGCTTCCACAATTGTGTTTGTTTTTTCGCTGGGTTCAGAAGGGACTGAAGAAGACTGCAGTTTTTTGTGGGTACTGTATGTATCGCAAGGTACTGACGGTTTTGTATCTGGCTCATCCGAGTATAGCCTATTTTACGTGAAAAAAAATTATTAGCAAAGTGTGCTGATTAAGGGAATTGTTGTTGTTGTTCGGCTGTTCACCATGATGCAGTTGAGATATGTTATGATTTTGTCTTACCATACGCCGCCCACGTCCTCCATACGTTCAAAAATGCGAACACTTATGCCATGCTCTTGTAATGCTTTTGCCGTAGGAAGCTGATAAACAAGCAAAAAATTACAGATTAAAAGGTTGTAACTTTTTGTAGATGTCTGCACTACATACGCCAGCAGGTCCAGCGCCAATAACGGCTACGCTTTTGATCGGTTCATCAAATACGAACGGCTCAGCTCTGGCATCCGCTGATTCCTTGAGAGTCCTTTCTATAATCTGGTTCAAATCAAGTGTCGGGTACGCTGGAGGTGGTGCATCTGGAGGGAAAGCTCTTTTCTTCACGTAGGCCTTTGGCACCTTTTGTTCATCTGATACGATATAACCTATTGTCATTTCTCTTTGCCGGCCTCTTTAAGTACTTCAAGTATTAAGAACTAATAAAGGTCGAAAAGATAGAAAAGAAGAGAAAGAAGAAAGCGTGATACAGGGGGGGGGCAGGGCGCTGGGTATTCTCTTTTATATAATAAGCAAACGTGTTACAAATACTACAGACTTGCATGACATGCATGACATCCAGTAACAGCGACAAGAAACTCTTCAATAGAGTTCACGGGATACGACTTGGTGTTTTAAAGATGAAAATCTGCCATATACCATGTAGGATTATCGTATTATAAGCAAAGAAGAAAAAGATTTCCGAAAGTACAACGCCATCAACTCGATGGGGAACAAATAAATGTGTATATATGAGGCAATGACCAGTACTTGCCTATTTTTAGGAGCAAGCCAGTGTTGCGGTCCACGCCTGCATGAGTCTAACTGAGTGCACAGTGAGCGGCACCCTCCTGTTACTATTATTACTAGCCGCTGCCTCATTTTATAAGTTAAGAAGGTCCTTACCATAGATATTACTATATCATCGATTGCCGAAAGCGTAGTACGCTGTTTTAGAAGAGAAGCACAAAAATTCACAATCACTTTCCACGTTCCTTTCCCTAGTGATTAAATTACATTGTTCTTCTCTGTTACATATCATGGTAAAACACGGCGCAAATCGAGGAAACGATTTAACCGCAATTCTAGAAAAGTTTTCTTCGGCTTCATTATTATTATTTATGGATTTTAACTAATCTTTACATGTGACAAACGTGGGTTGCCCGCCGTTAGGTAAAAAAAGAAAGAGATCAAACCAGAAAGAAAGAAAAAAGACAATATGAAATACAGTGAGAGTTGATAATAAGATGGATTTTTGATTGAAAGTATTAACAACTGTTTATCGATCGTTGAAGATGCTGTCTGGACTTCCGTTTGGATAATCTGATAGACGCATCGTGGACACACCATAATATGGGTCTTTCCAAGATGAACACGGGTGAGGAAGGTGTAGTTTGTATGCCATATAGATAGATGCTGTCATCCGTGTATAATAAAGGGTGATTTTCATCTTGATCGATGTGTGTTTTCATTGATGCAGTGTCATCTTGCCTGTTTTGGGATTTAATTCATGCTTTCGACAGGTGAAAAGTGGGTGAACTCGGGTATTTGGATGGAGCACTAGTGTTGCATAATTAAGAAAATACAACCATTGTTTACTACAATGATGGTTGGCTCAAAGTTATTTTTTGTTGGAATGCATGGCTCTGATTGAGTATTGAGTAATATACTGGCTCATCTGTGTGAAGTGTTCCCTCTACTGCTGCATTGTAATAGCTATAAGATACAAAGAAGACTGCGAAATGGTCTGAGCTAAATATACTATACATGTCATAACAAAATTTTCATCCTCTTCTTCATGTACTGAAAATCCCTTGACTTTCAAAAAGTCAAGAGTAATAGAAAAAAGCCAAGCATTTGTTTTAGACAAAGAAGAATGAAATATACTATTGCTAAAAAATAGAATAAAGCGTGAGAAAAGTGCTGTTGTATTCTTTTTGCGGATAGTACTGTGGCCAATGAGGATAGAGAATAAATAGAGGATTCAAAGAAGTAAAGAGGAATTGAAATATAATATTTATTTTATCCAAGAGGGACGGATATTTATTTTTTTGTCTTAACTTACTGCGGTCACGGTGAATCGTACAAAGGTTACAAAAGGACAAGATACGTAATGAATTGCAAAGTTGTGATATCATGAATAACTGCGCAACAGCTATGCATCAAGAATAGCGATATACTGTGGACCGCAGCATTAAGAGATCTTAGTAAAAAAGGAATCGAAATTCTAAAGAAACTGCAATGATGTCAGTCATTTCTGACTACGACTGATGTCGAGTCGCTTCTTGGTAGGTGGATTCGTAGCCAGTGGGAAAGGAGAAGAGCAAAGGGGTAATATAATAGAGGGTTGTTCTATCTCCCATTTTGTCTTTCTCGGCCTTCTCAGCAACATGCTTTTTTTAAACACATCCCTAGAGCTTGCTTTGAATGTGCCTAATTCATCAAGTGCCTTTGGAGAACTACATCTGGTGGAAGAATGTACAAAACAGCTCTTTCCCACTGAGTTAGTCTCAATTTCCATTCTCCTTATTTTTTGATCCAGTTTGCCCTAGCTGAGTAAGCAAGTGTGTAATGGTTCATACCGTTACGATGATATCCAACCTGCATGGTTGACCATCGACAACGCATGGCTCAGACTATAGGATGACTTGCGATTAACCGCATGGTTAAATTAGGAGTAACAGGCGTGGATACTCTAGATAGAAGTATGATGTAGATCAATACATAGACTTTAGCTAGCCCCACTATTACTCAATGTATATATAAAGACGATATTCTGAGTTATATGGATCCCTATCGTTTTACCCTTTTGATATATTACAGTTTCATCTGGCCTTTTCGTAAAAGTTGCCAGCGCACGAACAACCGATTCATCATGGTACTTAGACGCAACAGTAGTAATGAGCGACTTTTCAACGCCTGTTCGCCTTTTTTCGGGAATACGCAGCGATGGCCATAACGTTATTCTGAGATAAAGCTGACTGTACGACGAAAAGCCGGAGCTTGAGTAGCGTGTTAATGGCGCTCACCATCGACTGCCACCCACACCAAAGGAAATGCAATACGTTTCTGGCAATAAACTCCTTAATGACGTTACTGACTACGGTTTTGTTGTAGTATGTACAGATGATGGATGGCGATCGTGTTTTTGTACCTGAACTTGACGTCGTGTTAGAAGGATACGCAGATGTTCTCCCAGACGATCTCCCTAACGGTTTACCACCTAAGCCAGCGTCGAGCACGCCATACCTTTACTACCACACGCCAGAGTTCCAGCTCATCGTATGTATCGCTTTTCTACACATGAGTTGGCCGAGCTCAAGAAGACGCTCGACGACTTATTGGCTAAGGGTTGGATCAGACTATCGACGCCACCTTACGGTGCTCCTGTTCTTTTCATAAGGACAAGGCTCTGCACATGGTGATTGACTATAGGTCCTTGAATAAGACGAGTGTGTTATCCAGATGCGCTCTGCCAGCGTGCGAAGATCTTTTGAACCAGCTTCTTGAGGTGCGATATTTAAGCAAGCTTGACCTCCGCTCCGGCTATATGCAACTCCGGGTCAAGGACGAGGATAGACACAAGGCTGCTTTCTTGACGAGATATGAGCTTTACAGATACTTAGTAATGCCCTTCAGCCTATCATCGGCGCCACGCTGCAACATTCCAGCGTTTTATGCAAGAAGTGCTAGAACTCCTAGAACCAGTTTCTTCTAAGACGACGATTTATATTGATGATGTCCTTCTGCTCACCAAGACAGAGGAAGAGCATCTACAACTCTTGAATCAAGTCATTGGATTCTTTGTCAAGTGGAATCTGAAGATCAGATTGAAGAAATGCTATTTTCTGATGCAGGAAGTGCGCTTCTTAGGATTCTACGTTTTTGCTAATGGTACCCGCTCTGATGCCACCAAGGTTGCTGCTATACTGGAATGGCCAAGTCCACAAACAGTAAAGCAGCGGCAACGCTTTTTTGGTCTTTGCACCTTAAATTCCTTGGCAGCGATAGCAGCTCCCCTGTACAAGCAGACTGGCAGCAAAACAAGCAGTATGTACTAGGGAAGAACAGAAGAGCAAGCTTTTCAGCAATTCAAGGACAGATTGGCAATTTTACCCTATTTGGCATATCTAGATTCGAGCCAACCATACAAGATGCATACAGATACAAGCGATGTAGGCCTTGACGCTGTTCTGGTCCAAGGAGGATGGCCTGTTCTTCTTGTCTATCTTTATAGCTATGGTACAAGTCAGCTAGAAAGGTTGTTGTGTGTAGTTTCAAATAGTCCTAAAATAACCGCCTATTTTATTGTGTAAGTGGTCGAAGTGATAATGATGATAATAACATAATACACACCAATGCTACGGATTGACGGTTTATGATGCAGGGTGAACAAACGAAATACACAGGGGAGAGACGAGGAAAATGAAGGACGGAGAGATTCGTATAAATAGGGAATGGGGATGGGAGTACAGAAACGCAGGAACAGTAAATCAAGTCAGCGACTACTAATGCGAAATTTATAGCTAACACATCAAGGTCCTTAAAGCATCTCCAACGGTCGTTCTAAAATGGAACGCCGCTATCCTAGCAGGACCATAGAATTGGCATGGTTTTTCCAACGGTCGCGCTATTCTAAAACTGGCTATTGAATTTACTGCTCTGCTCTTTCTACTTCAACCACTCATTTCACAATGTCAAGCCAAAATATTCGCAACCTAAAACAAATGTTCGATGAAGACATCGAGGAAGAACGCCAACGTCAGCGCAGAGTTGAGCGTCTTCAGAGAATCTTTGCAGCTGATGACCAAGACGACGATCAAGTGAGAAAACCCAGAAAAGGCTCTGTTCCTGGTCATCTCGTCATTAACCGCGATCGCGTTGGAGGTCATTGGCGTTTATACAATGACTATTTTGGCGACAATCCTGTTTACCCGGAGTACAAGTTCCGTACTCGTTTTCGCATGAGTCGTCGGCTTTTCGAATGGATCGTAAGCGAATTGGAGCAGAAAGATGCCTTCTTTCCGCAGAAGTACGACGCGGCTCATACGCCTGCATTGACACCGCTGCAGAAAGCGACGGCAGCAATTCGCCAACTGGCATATGGCGTATCTGCCGATGCGACCGACGAATATGTTCGCCTAGGTGCAAGCACTGCTCTTGAGTGCTTAAAGCGCTTCTGCTTGGCAATCAGCCGCATCTTTGGTGACGAATACCTGCGCTCACCAAACGAGGATGATATCAAGCGGCTTCTTGATATGGCGGAAAAACGCGGATTCCCTGGCATGCTCGGTTCCTTGGACTGCATGCATTGGGAATGGAAAAACTGTCCTACCGGATGGAAAGGCCAATATCAAGGCAAAGAGAAGAAAGCTACAGTAATCCTTGAGGCTGTAGCAGTCTTCGAAACATGGATCTGGCACGCGTTCTTCGGTCTCCCGGGTACGCTGAATGACATCAATGTCTTGCAGCGTTCCCCCATCTTCAATGATCTGGCGTCTTATGTTACGTCGCCTGTCAACTTTTCTGTCAATGGCCACAACTACACCAAAGGCTATTATTTAGTTGATGGTATTTACCCGCCGTGGGCTACGTTTATGGATTCAATCACGCATCCGACTGAGAAGAAAAAAAAGGTAAATTTTAACAATGCATATGGAGAGCAGCAACTCTTACTACTTATATAGTTGTTTGCCTGTATGCAAGAAGCGTACCATAAGGATGTCGAGCGTGCCTTTGGGATCTTGCAAAGTAGATTTGCTGTGATTCGACACCCAGCAAGACTATGGCAACCCGACGATCTTTCAATGGTTATGCGCGCATGCATAATCTTGCATAACATGATTGTTGAAGATCAGTGCTGCAATCCAGGAGAGGATGTTGCTGATGACAACGAAGCCGAAGTATTGCGAAGTGTTGGATCGGCGCCCATTTTGACAGTTCGCAGGGATCCAAACACCATGAGCGAATACTTGAATCGCTATGATGAGATCAAGGATGTTGCGGTCCACGATCAACTGAAGAACGACCTCGTTGAGCATTTGTGGCAGCACCAAGGCAATATGATCTAGTAAAACACAAAAGATATTTTTTATTTATTGTTTTCTATTACTCGTCAACTTCGTCGTCGGTAGTCTGTTGAACTTCTACGTCCTGGACAATGGCTTTTGCGATTCTGGCCTTTGCATTGGCCAAAGCCTCGCCTTTTCTCAGCATCCAATACTCGAGTATAGCTCCTGAGTATCTGTCGAGCTGTTCTCGCATCACTTCATCGTCGTTCATTTTCTCCTGGAGCTCGATGCGCCTGCGGCTATTCTAGACATGCTCCTCTTCAGCCTTCGCCAATCGAGCGCGATCATCGTCCAATTTACGCTTGCGCGTTCCATCTTCCTTCTCTTGCTCCTTGGCTTTCTTGCGACCGATTGGGCGCTTCACATACTCAGGTGCGCTTTGATTTGTCACATTGACATACTTGTTACTGAACTTTGGTTGCTCATGAAGCTCATTGTAACAGTATTGAAACTTCCAAGCAGATTTCGCAGCTTTCTTATACGGCGTTACTGCGTAGTCTTTCTTCACTCCCATATATTCATCAGTACTGGTATCGTATCGTTTATGAAAAATAGCATCCCCTAACCTCATTTTCTTCATTGTTTCCGCTTTTATTTCGTGCAAGAGCTTTTGCAAGACAGCCGCAGTATCTAGACACCTCTCTTTGGATGGTACATCAGCGGCCCGATAGGGCTCCCTGGCCAGTTCGTACATCCTTATCTCCCCCTCTTTGAAGAAAATCTTTGTAGATAGTCTCCCACAATATTTGGAGGGGAACATCGGTGCCCTTTGACAAACGAGTGGAGGTGGCAAGCCAGGATTGACACAACCACACATCCTCTTCATTGCTCCAACTCGGGCCGCGATTGCCAGCTTTTGCTGCTGCTGCTGTCGACGATTCTGCAACAACTTCAGGAACGGTGGTCGATTCGACACGAGATTCGACATTAGTGATGGGGATCGGGGCAGAAGAACTGGAAGACATTGTTGTTGGAAAAGGAAGTGATTTATAAAGAAGAGAGAGCTTTATTTTACTGCGTACAACAACGCGATTTTATTTTAGAAAACTTGCCCTAATTTTGGGACGCCTATTTTAAAAAATTTGACCCTTTTCTAAAATAGAATAGAAATAGGACGACCGTTAGAACTCGAAATTTTCTATTTCGGAATCCTAAAATAGAATTTAGAACGACCGTTGGAGATGCTCTTATAGGCCCTAATTTTAACAGAGCTGCACGAGCGACCCAAATTTTTCCTTGCGTAGACCAAATTTCTACATATAGGAGTTTAAACATCCATTACACATGTCCCTCTACTATCTTCACTCCTTCGGTAGACCAAACTTCTCCCCACACCAATTTCAAATTTTCTTTACAATCTGTAATTCCTTGCATAGACCAAAAAAAAGTGGAAGTGTAATTCTTTGCGTAGACCAACTTTTACTAGGTTGCCTTGTAGTTAGGGATCCGTATCAGAACCATAGAACCGGAACCGAACCGAACCGAAACCGAGAAAATACGGTTCGGTTCCTGTCAAGAACCGAACCGGAACCGAACCGGTTCTGTATAAGTAGAACCGAAGAACCGAGAGGCAGAAGATTGCAATCAGCGATTTTGGTAATTAGTATCAAGTAGGCTATAATGGAAGTTACGAACAATGTTATTCCGAAAAGACCACGAAGTAGTGTATTTGCAAGCCATACTTTATTGAAAAACTTAACAAAACCTGCAAAAGCAGAAGGGAGTAAAAAATAGTAAAGAAGAGAAGAGAAAAAAATAAAAAAACACTTCTTCTGACGGCAGCTTGCTTTCTCCGCCCATGACGCACATCATTACTTGTTCCTCTACTTTGCTACCCACAATGCATTTTTCTCCATGACGTACTACTTTACTAGATTTATCATGGCTTCTCGATCAGTTTTATCAAGTTTGTGCATTCCGTTTGAGATTGCGCATTCTGGGGCTCATAACAGAATTATCTTACCCATTCACCCTTTGCCTTTTATGAGACACTATACACTATACACACGTAGAGACACAGCAGCTGTATGTACTGCCGGTTGTGGTTCAATTCCTCCAATGTTACGATAACATATTGTACTAGTAATACTAAGTCGCTCTAAGTAAGTACTATAAGCTCCACTTTTTTTTGTAAAAACTGTGCTTCAATCTTTTAACCATGCAATGACCCACATCGTATGAGGATGTTTACATTCTGTTTCTCTTATTCATTTTGAGATCGCTGTTCAATGTACAATAATAAACTATTCTTTTTTACTGCAGTATTCAAGTATACCGCGACATTTGAACACACACATCAGCTTTCATTTAAAGATACCGAATCTTGCCTTTTTTATATACATGATGGGTTCGGTTCTTCGGTTCGGTTCTTCGGTTCTACGGTTCTCGTCGGTTCTAGTCGGTTCGGTTCTTGCTTTAGACGGTTCGGTTCGGTTCCCTTTAAGAACCGAACCGAACCGAACCGTGCGGATCCCTACTTGTAGTGACGTTCAGTAAGTGAGATATAATATCCAATAATAGCGATTTACCACGTAGGTTTGACATTCTATTCTAAACATTATCCTTTTTCTTTTTCTATTAGAAGAATATAAAGAAAGAGAAAAAAGAGAAGATTAAATGAAAGTGTATAGGGATATGATGGAGAAGATAAGGTATGGTTCTGCTGCTTATTCATCAAAGTATATGATGCTCTTGGTCGCCCTAATCTTCACTGTCTGAGTCATCGTCATCTAGATATTTGAAACAGCCGTAGTCAACGCTACGCTCCATGTGAAAAGGCGCCATATTGCTAAGGAAACTGTGTTCTTCTGTTAGGCTAATGGTACAATCACAATCTTCTGTCTCACCGGCCGGCTCAAGATCTTCCCTAACTAGGCGCATACCGACCTCTGGAACAAAAACAGAAGAGGCTATATATTCCGGGGTATCCATCGGTTTGATGTGCTCATTTGCAGCATCGATCTCGTGTACCAGCATGTCTTGGAGTGTTTCTGCGATAATTTTCTTGCCTCTAAACCCATAGTATCCAGGCTATAAAATATAAAGATAATTGTTATTATATCATAGGATCTACTATATATACATTTTAATGTTGCTGTAAAATTTCGGACAGCTCTTGTAAAGAAGTAGCTGGCGCAGCAATATCTCAAGTAAATTCTCGAGTGTTTGTGTTTGCAGCTGACAAGTTGCGATGGAGTGTTTGCTATCACTATCAATTTTTTTTGTCTACACAAAGAATTACACTTCCACTTTTTTTTGGTCTACGCAAGGAATTATAGATTGCAAGGAAAATTTGAAATTGGTGTGGGGAGAAGTTTGGTCTACCGAAGGAGTGAAGATAGTAGATGTGCTCTTAGGGCCGCTGAAAATTCGCGTTGAGAAATTTCGGGTAAATAGTTTACCCGACTGAAAACGCGAATATTTTCTAGTCAGCTTCGGGACAATGTTCATCCGTACATATGCATATCAACAAGCATCATTTTTTTCGTAGTATCAGT